TTTGTTTGTTGTGATCAAATATACAGTAATAACATACACAGTTGACTGCATCAATATAACAAATAATGTACTTAATTGTACAGACTCGACACGTTTCGCAGTATTGCTTCCTCAAGAGTCCTGAAAATCCATAATATGACAATTTCATAGCGTACAAGACAGCATATATATATATATATTAGCCATTTTATAGAATTAATTCAACTGTTTTTTGAGTTAGTCACTTCACATACCTGACAGTTCATGGCTATTAATTAGATCATCCAACACCCGCAAGTCACGGGAGCAGAGGGATGGGAGAGGAGGGATAGTAAGGCGAAGGTAAAGCCGGAGTCCTGATAACGGTATGCACAATGTTCCAGCGGGGGCTTTCTGGGGAGATCAAATGGACAGGAACCCACTTTATCTATTCTTAAATTATATATATTAAATATATTGTTTTCAATGGATAAATGATTACCTAAACACAAGGATGACAAAAAGGTCCCAATAATCAAATGGCTCACCCAGTGTCCAAGTACAGACTCTCCGAGTAGGATTTCAGCCATTTAGACAATTCAGAATCACCATTTGGTTGTTGAATACAACTTCCCCACTCTCACAGTGTTGATCACATCTTTGTCCTCTTGATAAAAACCACAGGTGGTGTTTGTTATAGTTAAATCACTGCTTAGGTGTTAGTAAGGCTCGGGAACCTTCAGAATATGTGTAGTATATAGTGGCTTACCTCTTTTTGTGTTGTATGTGAGTCCTGTCAGCAATGGAGTATTGTCTAAATCCGCTTTTTACTCCTGCGGATAACAGATCTACCTTCACAGGTACAAACAGGTTTGCTGATAAGGTGTGTGTGTGTTTGTGGGGGGGGGCATAGGCATCCTTTCTGTACCGGGCCTGGGCCACGTCAGGTCAGCAGGGGGGCCCAGGCTTGGCAGGAAGACTGTATGGACTCCAGGATTCTAATGGCAATCCTGCTGTCAGTTGTTAGTCTTGTGTTAGCACACTGTCTGCCATCTTCCCCCCACCATGCTAAGTTTAAGTTTTGGATAATTCCGACAGAGAAATGAGTTGCTGGGATGAACCAGGGGAACCCCCTACCTCTCCAAACATAAGCAGCAGTAGGAGTTGTGGCTGTAATTTGCAGATGAACAGAATGGGCAGAGGGAGCTCAGTTGGAGAAGGGGCAGCGAGAGCTGGTACGAGCAATATGGGGAGGTGGACCTGGAAAACATTGAGGAGCAATATGGTGAGTGTTACTCTATGGGATGTGTGATACCTGGGCTTGCCAAAGTTTTCCTAGGGACAATGTCCGACTCTGCATCAGGGAAAGCATGTAGCTGTACAGAACATGGGGCACTGGATATCAGCCTGCCCTGCAAACCATTCTAGGGGAATAGAGACAAAGGTTGAAGTTGGTTGACTGCCACTCTGAACAGACACAACATCATGTCCAGCTGGGGGGAATTATGGTTGTCGAGGTTGCTCTGTCAAGTAGGCTGTATGGGCCCCATGATTTCTGATGGTGGACCTGGGTACAAAACTAGTCTCCAGCTTGTAGTTCCCCGGCAATGTTCAAAAGAGAATATTCTCAAATGGGACACGAACAAAACTTTATTAAAACAAATAAGCTCCCACCAATTTTTGCACAACTTTTTTTTAATCTTTCCTGTGACTCCCGTGAAGAGGACCCACTCCGGGCAATTGCTGCGACTAGTGCTTCAGTCACAGCCTCAGCTTTCACGGTGTGTCTGGTAGCAAACATCGGATGCAGCCCGGTACATCACTTCCGGTCACTAGCTATCAAGCTCTACCCTATGGCTCCGAGCCGCTGATGAGAACCCTAATAAGACTGGCTGGTGTTCCAGGATAATTGAAATGCCATTCAGTCTTATCTAGGCAGAATAAAAACAGAGGTACAGCATTGCTACCTTACGTATATTTGCAAATGTATGCAACAAAAATCTTTCTCCATAAGGCCATGCAACTCTGTGATCCTATTCTTATGAAATTTCAGGATATCGATTGATGCATTTGTGCTGTTTTTTTGTACCTAGTTTGTGTTTTGCCCAAAATAACTTTTATAGCTTATGTTCTTCATATTGTTTATCAATATATTGATTTGTCTGTATTTTTTTACCCTAGCCCCAAAAGAAAATGAAGAACGAGTCTTCAGGGAGCGAATGCGCCCCAGGAAACGGCAGGGGGCAGTTCGGCGAAGGGTTCATCAAGTTAATGGGCACAAATTTATGGCAACGTACCTTAGGCAACCTACGTACTGTTCACACTGCAGAGATTTTATATGGTAAGTCACAAATCCCTGGTGCATGCTGGGAGTTTTATGCAGTGACGAGTGTTTTGTGCCAGTTTAAGGTGTTTCAGGATGCGCAATAGTGTGCGCACACAAACACAAGGTAACTTACAAAATTCATACTAAATCGAAAAGGTAACATTGTATTGAGTTAATAAATAACAGATTTTTGTAAATTTTACATTGTGCCTTTTTTTGCGAAATGGTTAAAAATCGAAGGTACGCAAAACTGTGAATAAGCAACTTGCACTAAAAATCTAGAGTTTGAGTTCACACTCATGTGTTGCAATAATACCCGATCTGCAGTGCTGTGTAAGTGCTGCGCTGGTGTGTGCTGCGATAAAATGATCCAGCGTTACACTTTATCACAATGCAGTGTGTTACAACAAGCAACAGTGCATTGCAATGTGCATCAATGTGACACAACTCGCTGTTATACTCTGCATAAAGTTGAATGAATGTAATTTAGTAAACATGGCATACCAATCCCTACAGTTGTGAATAAACATTGGAGTGGTGACCAGGGCAGTTGGGGATTTTTGGGGGGCGGTGTTGATGCTGGTCACATTTTTTTGAATGGCTGCAATCAGTGACTTGTCTGCAGCTGATCACAGCTATTCTCTGGAGGAGAGGATGTAGGGCTTACTGAAGAAGCCAGCTGCAAGCAGTTCTGTTATGATGTAACCCTTGTGTCCTTGGCAGTAAAAGGGTTAAAGGTAGTCTGATTGGCTGTGGCCTTTTTAATGGAGGATTCAAGTTAGATGCATATAGAGGATTCAAGTTAGTTGCCGTGAACTATGTATTTTTTGCTGCTAATCTCACCGAAATCTACATAAAAGTCACTATTCTCTGTTTGAGCTGTTTAGGGGTAACCCAACGATCATGTCAGTAAGTTCTTCTTCCATCAAGTAAGCATAAGCTGCAGAATGCTTGTAGTAAATTTGCAAGCTATGTTTCTCTTCTGCTGTACATTTATCCTGCTGACGTCTAAATCCTGCCAGCATACATAACAGGAAGAGAGTCTTCACTTCAGACGTCTTCCTGGAGGCTGCATTAGTCAACTCACGCCAGTGCAGGAGAGATATTTGAATGGAAAAAGTAACAAAATGATTTATTTTCTGCTATAGCTATTATGATCTCCACAGAACGTGCAACTCCACCTGTGACATCAAATGCCTTGCACATTGTATACTTTATTATTGTATACTGCATTATGTGTTTAACAAAACACATAATGCAGACATCATAAGAGCACTCATCATAAATATCAACCCAGAAAATTGCTATTACACCTTTTAAAGGCTTTTATGATACCTGGCTACTAGAACTAGTCAATGCATAAGATTGATATGTATGGTAAGAGCTTATTGCCTTTCTGTCATTATTTTTAATAAAGATGGAAAAACATTATACATTATTTAAGACTTCACATTTTATGTATATACAAAACTTTTTATTTAGTTTTGGGTGGGTCAAGGCTTGTTTTTTGCTGTCTTTGTCCTGCTGGAGAGATTTCACTTCCTGTCCTGGAGGGACAGGAGGAAATGAGAGGGGATCTCTCCAAAGTGAAAGGAGGAAATGAGAGGGGATCTCTCCAAAGTGAATGAAAATCCCATTTTAGAGAATAGTCATAGGAACATGTTTCCTCATTGCAGGGTTTACCCCAACCTCTTACCCTGGTGACAACTCTAAAATTTTGGATTTCCTCACGACTATTAGAGAGGATGAATTTAACCAGCAGGAACACAAACCGTAATAAAAGCTTGGCGCTTCTCCAGTCCATCCAAAACCTAAACAATGGGCTAGGCAGTGCATACTTTGTATTGCATTCCATTTCATGCTTACACATGCTGGAAAAGTAATTACAAAAAGACACAAATTAATTAATGTATGTAAACTCAAAGCTATTTTTGTTGTTGTTATGGTCCTATCGGGGATTTTTTATTTTTTTTGCAGTCTCATATATGGCGGGAAGATTTTCCTTTGCTTCCTGTCTCAAAAACAAAACAGGAAGTAAGAACAAATATCACCAAAGTGAGGAGAATCCGCTCTTAGACATTTGTCACTGGAACAAGCATGACTATTGGAAGATTCCCGTCACCTTCTGTTTCTGTGATAACGGTCACAATTGTCAATTCCACTCATTTTATATATAAAAAAACCCAAAACGAATAAAAGAGAATACTTAACACTCCTGGGTTTATGAGTTCTGACAGAGTTTAAGAAACAAAAGATGTGTCTGAATGGTTGTTCTCCAACCAAGGCTTGTACAGATGATTTACAGATATTAAAGGAGAACTATGAGGTGAGTGCTTTCCACTCAACTCATAGTTCTAGCCGACCTGTGACAATGAGACTGTCACAGGTTGGCTTAGTAGATCGGGAGGTGAGCAAACACATACCGGCGTTCGCTCACCTCTCGATCCTGTCATGGCTCTCTGCCGTGACGGGAGGGGCTGGATTCCCCCCTCCCCGATCCTCCAGCGCTGACTGGCGGAACAGACAGGGGAGGGGGTGGGTACAGCTGGCTCTGCCTCTAGATAGGCAGAGCCAGCTGTCAGTCACGCAGCTGGGCGGATCCAGACATAATTGTCGGGATCCGCTTCAGCTGCGGCGTCTCAGTATACCGCGAGCAGCAGCTCACGGTATACTGCGGCGTCTCAGTATACCGCAATCTACAGCTCGCGGTATACTGAGCCTAGGGTGACGGTAGGACGCTAATTTGTGTCCTCCCGTTACCCTAAGGAGAGCTATGGGGAAAAGCCTTAACCCCATAGTTCTCCTTTAAAGGGGAACATTTCTGGGCTCTTATGAGCCTCTTGATGTTAAAACAAGAGCCTCTCTAGCTGCCTCTGCAGCATCTTTTTGTCAGCCATCTAGGGGGTGTCACTGAGCCGGCCCTGAGTGCAGGGTCGGGGAGGGAGAGCAGAAGGGCTAAGCCTTTACGAAGTCCTCCTCTGCTCCTCCCAAACTGTTAAATTCATATCCAAAACTATGCAACAACCCCTAAATTATAGTGCATCATGAAATGATCTTTACATTAAACCCAAACTTGGTGTAAATGTGAAGCATGGTTGGGCCAAGAGAGTTAAAGTGGCTTGTCAGGCCCCTGACCATCGCAACCTTTCTATTCTTGGTATGTCTGTTTTTGTCTTGACGAGACCCAGTTATGTGTGCAACTAATTTTACAATATCACTGTCCAATTCCAAGTTATGAAATTGGATTGATATTGTAACTCTGTTTTAGAACTACGTGTGTCTCCAAGGTCACCTGGGTGGTTAAGTTTACCTTGTCCTGTGTGTTTACCTACCTGTCAATTTGCTAATTTATTAGGGGATTTATGAGCTGGGCAAAACAATTAACCTGGTATTAGGAATGTACGATCCCGTTCATAAAGTAATCACTTAAATGAATTCACGCCAGGTCCAGGGGAAACTCTAAATAAACACTTAGGTTTTAGTGCTTCACTTAAGAACTATAAAGATTACAGGCCCAGATTAGCAGATATTGTGCTGGAATTTGAAGAGCTTGGCAACTGAGGGCAACCCAAGGTCACTTCAACTGAATGAAAGGCTGCATTTATTTGTAAGCTGGTGGAGAAGACAATTTCATACTTAATAATAATAGGCTTAAACCTCGTTACTGTCACAAATATAAAAAATGTTTTGGCTTTGCATACACATCTAATCTTAGGGATATATAAATATATGATTTGAGACAGCCATTGCCAGTATCTATACCCATTCACCTTGTCCCCAGCCATGTCTCCTCTATGATGCTTTTACTTTGACATGAGAATTGTTTTTATGTCACTCAGTGATTTTTTATTTTTTTATTTACAGGGGTGTAATAGGGAAACAGGGATATCAATGTCAAGGTAAGAAAAAAGTTCCTGTAAATGTGGTGAAAATAACCTGCCAAGTTCTGTCATTCTGATTACTACAGTCAGGAGTTTTATAGAACTTACTATAATTAACTATACATGATCTGAACTATTTCCCATCTATGGCTAATCTGTGATTGTTCCCAGCGATACCTGATCTAAATTATTCCCAGCCATACCTGATCCAAATTGTTCCCAGCCATACCTGATCCAAATAGTCCCCAGCCATACCTGATCCAAATAGTCCCCAGCCATACCTGATCCAAATAGTCCCCAGCCATACCTGATCCAAATAGTCCCCAGCCATACCTGATCCAAATAGTCCCCAGCCATACCTGATCCAAATAGTCCCCAGCCATACCTGATCCAAATAGTCCCCAGCCATACCTGATCCAAATAGTCCCCAGCCATACCTGATCCAAATAGTCCCCAGCCATACCTGATCCAAATAGTCCCCAGCCATACCTGATCCAAATAGTCCCCAGCCATACCTGATCCAAATAGTCCCCAGCCATACCTGATCCAAATAGTCCCCAGCCATACCTGATCCAAATAGTCCCCAGCCATACCTGATCCAAATAGTCCCCAGCCATACCTGATCCAAATAGTCCCCAGCCATACCTGATCCAAATAGTCCCCAGCCATACCTGATCCAAATAGTCCCCAGCCATACCTGATCCAAATAGTCCCCAGCCATACCTGATCCAAATAGTCCCCAGCCATACCTGATCCAAATAGTCCCCAGCCATACCTGATCCAAATAGTCCCCAGCCATACCTGATCCAAATAGTCCCCAGCCATACCTGATCCAAATAGTCCCCAGCCATACCTGATCCAAATAGTCCCCAGCCATACCTGATCCAAATAGTCCCCAGCCATACCTGATCCAAATAGTCCCCAGCCATACCTGATCCAAATAGTCCCCAGCCATACCTGATCCAAATAGTCCCCAGCCATACCTGATCCAAATAGTCCCCAGCCATACCTGATCCAAATAGTCCCCAGCCATACCTGATCCAAATAGTCCCCAGCCATACCTGATCCAAATAGTCCCCAGCCATACCTGATCCAAATAGTCCCCAGCCATACCTGATCCAAATAGTCCCCAGCCATACCTGATCCAAATAGTCCCCAGCCATACCTGATCCAAATAGTCCCCAGCCATACCTGATCCAAATAGTCCCCAGCCATACCTGATCCAAATTATTCCCAGCTATACCTGATCCAAATTATAACCAACCGTACTTGATCCAAATGATTCCCAGCCATACCTGATCCAGATTATTCCCAGCCATACCTGATCTAAAATAATTCCCAGCTATACCTGATCTAAAATAATTCCCAGCTATATCTGACCAGAATTATTCCCAGTTTTTATACCCGATTTGAAATATTTATGTACCTGATCCATTGTATGACCCTGCACAGATTTTCTATGGGTGGCCTGCCAATTAGCAGCCAAAGGCTGATGTCCTTTTATTGCAGCTGGTTGCCTTCCATTTGTCTGAATAGAGCATTTGGCATATATCAAGGTGTTCCAACAGGATAAGACCAGTATGGCAGGGTTGTTAAATATCAGCAAGGAAAGAAAGAAGCAGAATTGTTGCCATAGCAATCTTTCCTGGTGTCGCTTTTCTAATACAATTTGACTGTACACCTAATTAATATCTGTAGATAACACCTCCACTGCCTTTTCTCCACTGTTACATGAAAAGTTTGCTCGTTCATCAAATGGTTGAATCATAATACATTTTTCCAGTAACAGATACTATAAAATTCTGAAGGACATAATTTTTTTTTATGTACTAACACAAACAAAGGAAGATTGGGAAAGTCTTTTGAGATGTAAGGAAATATATCCCTTCTGTAGCGCTCACCCCTGAAGGTGCCACTAGAATGATCTTTCCTAGCCTGTCTAGGGTTTGCAATGGTGTTGCTGCCCCAAATGCACTTAACAACCCTTCAGTAGCGACCGGTAAGTGAAGTCCACATAGAAGACGCAATGCTGATTAACTTTATTAGAGAACTTTGGGAGAGGGTCAGGGCACAGGACACCCAAGTTGTAATAGACTCCGAAAAATGATAGAACAAAGTACTTGCAGTCTTCACAGATAGAGGACCTTTAAGCTGATTGTGGCAATCTGTGTCTTGAGCTCCTGGCTGTGCAATACCAATACTTGAAACAAAAGCTGCTAGTCCGTTCCAGATTAGATCACCATGCTGCCGCAATGGATCACTTCTGAGGCTCCCCTCACCTGGTGAAGTTGCTCTCTGTCATCTTCATCCTCAGCTTCAGTCATTAGGCCCCAGGCCCAGGCGGCCTTAGTGTGAGCACATGGCCTTCCTTTGTAGGCTGCAGGCCTAGACAGGTCAGACAATCCACAGCAGCCCCCCCACCCCACCCCCAGGTGAGGAAGAGAGAATGTCAATGGTCCACCGTGAATATTTATCTCCTCCCCCAGCACGAACCACTGGTCATGAAATTGCTAGTGATTGGCTATGGAGACATCAATATTCATAACACACTATTATTGGTTGCTCTCCTCTGTGGCAAGGTTACAGCCAGCAGCAGGCAGATGCAAAAACGATAACAGGGTGCTTAGGAGAAATCAAATCAGGATCAGACCTATCAAATCAGGCTGAGACTAAATACAGTCTGACAACAGCTAAATTTAAAGGCACCCCTGCTTAAGGCAGGGTGGCCACACCTAGTAAATCCTGCAATTGATGTGGTTTCTGTATATGGTCTTCAGTCTGAGAATTGGGTGTGTGGGTAGTGGGCATGACTTAAAAGACAAGTCAGTGGGACCTGCTGCAACCTGTAGTTTTAGAGAGATAAGGTAGGTCACTCCTCAGTGGAACCGGGTGGGAATACTAAAGTAGTAATAGTAGTTCTAAAATTCCAGAGGGACCATTGGGACATGCAGGGGCTAGTAATAGCACAAAGACAGACGAGACACCAGTGGAGCTAGCTGGGACTTATACAGAGACATGAGAGGCACCTATAGTTCTACATAGACAGGAGAGATGCCAATGAGACCTGCTGGGACTTTTAGTTCAAGCATATCTAGAAAGCTGGGGTACCATAATGGCAACAAATAAGAGAAGAGTGGACCAGTTATATCCTCCTTACCCTCTCTCTATACTTGTCTCCACCTCATTCTGGTGGATTTAGGGCCTGTTTTTCTCCGCAGGCGTATGTCTGCCTGTCCTAGTTCACTGCCAGCTCCTGTGCACAGTGGCCTCTAGAGGCTGCATGAGAAACTGCACCCCCAGAAAAGGAAGTCCCCTAGTGGCTACATTACCATGAAAACAGTCTAATTTCTCATTTAAAATACTAAGGGATATCTGTAAACTTTATTTTAATAACAAAGAACTTTCCGCAGAGGCTTTATCTAATATAAGACTCAATACACTAAGTTATAACTCATAATAAACCATTATTTTTAGCAACAGCAGCCAATGAAAGTGGCAAATATCAGTTACATGGTTGAAAATGACAGGAATTATGGCAAATCCATCAGTAGTTAATGCTTAGTGAGTTCATCCCATAATGATCAGATAAAGAACAATATCTATTCTTTATATAGAACATGTGAAAGGTAAGAATAGGTTTATTGAGATTTGCTGTCTGGGAAAACTGGCTGGAGATGTGACAAGTGTGGAAAATGCCTGTGTTTGCCAGATTTTATTTCTCATGTTCACATTGGGCATCTCATCTCCTCCCAGTCTGACCTGTGTTACTTTTATGTGTATTTACCATTTGTATAAAACAAATATTTGCCATCCCGCACGAACTTGAAATGTTCACCAGATATCAAATTCAGACAGTCCAAGTTCTATATAAATAGCATTCCTCCCAAGTTTCTGAGATAGAAAAGGAAGTGTTTTAAAGGTAAAAACCCCACTTTAAAAATAAATGCACACTTGATATAATAATAAAAATAATTTTAAAAAAAGTGCATTGCATTGGAGCCAGTAGAGCATTGCAACCACTAAGAGTGGATCGCGGGCCTAATCTTCTGGCTCCTACAGATTCTCTCTCCTGTCCCTGTTACAGGAACAGGAGTAAGAATGAATGGACTACAAGTGCAATGACCTCACCACACTTGTACGCCATTGACAACTAGAAGTCCCTGTGCCTTGGTGGATGTAGAAACGTACAGTTTCTCCATTTAGAGATCCTTTCAAATGCATGCAGCTGTATGGGCAGCAGTACCGCTTCATGAACACTGGGCAGTGGCTGCTCCACCGCCCTCTGGAAAGGCAATGAAGGCTCTGAGTTCAACTTCAAGTGGATATAAACAGACCTCCTGGTTTCAGAGACTGAAAGAAAATTACATCTATACCTATAAACAGTGTTGGCATAAGAAATAAAACAAACGTTTTTGTTGTGGACCAGAATTCTTTTAATAAAACATGTTGAGGAACTTTGCTGGTGCACTATAAGCATAGCAATCACTCAACTTACTGTTTTCAGGTTGGTGAATAACTGTTGGTTGCTAGGGGTTACCATCCTTTTTCACAGCCTTAGTAAATGAGCCTGCTTAGTGTGTTATTATCTATAGGTTGTTGCGATTGTCTTTGACAAAATGCTGATATAGTTAAATATATCTGTCTTCTTTCTACAGTTTGCACTTGCGTAGTTCACAAGAGATGCCATGAGCTTATCATCACGAAGTGCGCCGGCCTGAAGAAACAGGAAACCCCCGATGAAGTAAATATTCAAACTGTTAGATCTTTGTTGAAAAACAGCCTTGGGTGACTCTTCCTTTGCCGGTATCCCTCCAACATGTTGTGTTCTACTTCCATGAGCCCGGATCAGCTGCCAGTGCACCCAAACTTCCATTGGAGCTCAAATTGTAACCATAAACCTACTACAGCATCCATATCAGAAGAAAAGTCATAGTAAACGTTATTGGCAATGTAGATTGTGATTATACTGCCCATTTTTAAAGATCCTGGACTGCCAGCTGAGCTCCAGTTTCCTCCACCATTTTAATGAAAAGTTAAAGTGACACTCAACTCAGGAGTTAAACCTCAAAAATACATTCAAGTACTTTAACTACTAACAAAAATGTATCTTATTTGTGTATCACTCAGCTGTAGATCCTCAAATCATCTGTGAATTGGTGCTGACACTGTCCTTCCTGCTGGAGGGTGACTGCTTGTGTTCCCCATGGTCCCTGTGTGTGTTGTAAAGTAGTTACCTCTCCAAGCTCACTCCTGTGATGGACTACAATCTCATGTTTAGTTCACCCATTTGTATTGAGATTGTAGTCCATCACAGGAGTGAGCTTGGAGAGGTAACTACTTTACAACACACACAGGGACCATGGGGAACACAAGCAGTCACCCTCCAGCAGGAAGGACAGTGTCAGCACCAATTCACAGATGATTTGAGGATCTACAGCCCAGTGATACACAAATAAGATAAATTATGTCAATAGTTAAGGTACTTGAATGTACATTGAGATTTAACTCCTGAGTTTTGTGTCACTTTAAAGACGCTCCACTTGGTTGCTCCTTCAGAGCCCTCAGGAAATATTTGGCCCTTCTTGGCATTTGACTTTCTCCCAGGATGCATTTCTTGGGCCTGAGAGGCCGGGTATGCACACTGTCACATGAGGAGAGAGGGAAATAATTTTAAGCCCTGTGTAATCTGACATTATCAGACATGGAGCTTACACGTGGTTTCAACTCCTGGCTGTGCGGAGGATCTGTCTGTTTCAAGAATATTTTTTTCGGGCTTGATATTTCAAATGAACCTTTGAGTTTAGGGTTGTTTTTTTTCAGGAGAACACATCATTTGACCTGAACTGGCAAAGTTACAGAGTCTTGAGTGATGATAAGAAAACCTGCTTATTATCATTGTGTATGCATTGAATTTCTTTGGAATAAGTGGTAGACTGAGAAATGTGGAAAGCTATGCCAAATATATAAAACTAGCTCAAATATTACAAATAAAATGTTCCTGCTCTGTGGGGACCTTTCTAATAACTACCTCTTTTCAGAGGGCCAAGAAGGAGGTGTGTGCTCACTGTAAACGTATTACTAGTCACAATATTGTAATAAGAGAACTACTGCAGTCAATCAATGAGCAGAAAATCTGCTTGCTGGAGTGTTCTTTAAACTGGCAATGTACAGTGTGCACCCAGCTAATGAAATTCATCCTCTGACAGTTGCCAGCCTACACTTTCAGTGGCTATTGGCTGTCAAACCTGGATGTCGCTGACAGCTGCAGCCACCACTAATGATCAGTAACCAATGAGAGTGGTCCCTGATTATATGATCAGTATTTAATCCATTATTTAGTGATCAAACTTAAGGCTGAATTAACAAAATAATGGTTTTGCTGTCAATAGATGGCAGCATGCCTCAGTTTAATACTGCAGTCGTCTGATACAATTGTAATATTAAGAATTCACTCAATAATTGTATTCATAAATGAATAGCTGCAGTATAAAAAAAAAGTGAATACATTAATCCCGAATTATTATAAACATTTTATAAAGTACTGTTATGTCTTTATAAATGTAAAAATTATTTACTTGAGAAATCTAGTTATAGAGTTTTATAGTCAATGTAAACCGTGCATATTTGGCCTGGGTGCATATTTGGCCTGGGTATCTGGTCGTTTTAATGACCTCTGCAAAGGAAAAGGTAAATATTGATCCTCTAATAGATGTAATATATTTAGTGTCTTCATATATACTTGTAATTTAGCTTTAATACTTTTGCATTGTGGAAGTGATGCAGCTAGAGTCCTTACTAGGCAGTAACTTTGTGTTGTGTCTCAGCAGGTGGGCTCCCAGCGTTTTAGTGTTAACATGCCTCACAAGTTCAGCATCCACAACTACAAAGTTCCCACATTTTGTGATCACTGTGGTTCATTACTATGGGGCCTCATGCGGCAAGGTTTACAATGCAAAGGTAAGAAATGCAAAATTTTGTTTCATACTTCGACAATGTTTCTATTGCAGTTATATGCACGTACAAAGTTCTAATCATTCCGTACATGTATGCTGAAGTCCAAATGTTTTTCCACCTTTTATTGTGAATTTACCTTTTTAAGGTTTATGTTGTCATAGTTACATAATATTTGAGGTTGAATAAAGACGTCAGTCCATCAAGTCCAACCTTGTCTGTGTTCTCTGCGAGAATTTCCCCCACTTCATGGTAGTCACCAAGAGCGGAAGTGTAGAGAAATCTCTCCAATGGGGCTACATACAGAAATAAAATATGCATATCAGGGAGTTTTAAATAAAGTTATTAGTGGACATAGTTGTTGTGTAGTACTACTAAGCAGGAAGTGGAGTGTCGTATGTAATGAGCCAGGATGACTGCTTCCATGTGCTAAGCTCTATCCGCTATGTGGATAACACAGCTGCTACCGTAAATGATCATAACCAACATGGTGGCGTGGACATCAGTCACACTGTTCAGTAGAAGTAGCAGCTGGGGATTGCTGGCTTTGATGGCATGTAATGGAAGACTTTTATAAAAGCAAAAAAAATCCAAGCCAAAGAGCTAAGGTTACTAGGATTTGATGAGCATGAAAATATGTGTAGCGACAGAATTTGTTTACTTTTTGTTTTTCTTTGTTTGCAACATTTGCGCAGTGTGTAAAATGAACGTACACAGACGCTGTGAATCTAATGTAGCACCAAACTGTGGAGTGGATTCTCGGGGTATAGCTAAAGTACTAGCGGATCTTGGCGTCACGCCGGATAAAATCACAGCCGCTGGGCAGCGAAGGAAAAAGGTATGACCTTTTATATGTAATGTACATTTTTTAATTTTATTTAGAAAAACTAAATCAGGTAATGATATGCAAAAAATTAGATGTTGGTCTATAGAAACCACTTGAAATTAGTTTTACATTGTCTAGAGCTGCTTACAGGTTTTAGCAATTGGGCCTTTAACTTATAACAGAACCAGCCACTTGGCCATTATTCTGATGAAAGGTTGTGGTACAACCACACGTCAACATTAGGCTGGGTTCACACCCGGACGTCCGGAGTATGCGCGTTTGCCGCACGTTTCGTGCCGTAGGTTTTTACAGCGATTTGCGGTAAAAGAAACGTGCGACAAACGCGCGTTTACGAGGGCAATCCGGCTGTATACTTATGGATACGCGTGGCAAATACGCCCCAAAGAAGCTCCTGTAAAACGCCCAGGTGAGAACCAGGCCTTAGGGGCTATATACAAACATCCACTGACCCTGGCCTATGGCCATGAAGCATCCAAGTTGGACCATCCAGAGGGATTTCTGGCATGATCGGGTTCCTGTCACAACCAGATTCAGCAGTGAATATTCGGTTATGCCTGTGGAAACCTTTCTCTTTAATAGTTGCACATGCAAAAATGAAATGAACTCTCTGGAGGGCACAGTAAACATTACCCATCGCTGGCAGAAACATGACGACACAGTAATAGGACATCTTGTTTATATTTCCACAGTCCTGTGGCTGTCTTGTATCCCATGAGCTTCATGTAAGCCAGGAGTCTGTGCCAGCCTCTGTTAAATAGGAGAGTCATAGAACAGTGGCATGACAGGCTGTTATACAGCATTTTTGTGTGACTGGCACAGATTTAGGCTGCTGCAGAGAAAAGAATGGTATTAAATATTAGAATTATGAAGAAATGAATGGGAATAAGAAGTGAGAGGCACTAAGGGTAAAATTAGGATACAGAGGTTTATCTGGCTTGGATTATCATATTCAGCAGGGACGTGCGGTCAAGGGAGGCAGAGTGTCACCTAGTATTATGGAGGAAAAAGCTGTCAGCTTCAAGTCAGGGGAATGCCTCACCCAACACGGAAGGTACCGCACGTCACTGATATTCAGTAGCGTGTCATGATAAACCATGCCCCTTCAATAAAGCTGCCCTTTAATAAATCCCCCCACCCCACTGAGCGCAGTATACCTGGGCTAATACTTATCTTTCACTCCAGTCCAGCAATCATTCTCCAAAAGGCCTTAGCTGGCTCATTTTCATAATGTGCATGTGTGCCCAGGGCCACATTCATTCCTGTGGGTAAGCAGTACACCAAGGGACCTTGAGTACAGCTTACCCTTAGAAAGAGGTTGCGGCACTCGTGCAAAAAGAAGAGGACCAGACCAATGTTGGAGAAAATATCACTGGATCAGGGAGGAAGGCAAGTATTGTCCCAGTTGGGCTGTATTTAGGTAGGTGGGGAGATTTATTAACGCACATATCACAATCTTACTAAAGGTGTATTTAAAAAAAGCAAAGCATACTCGTATTGCTTCGGTGACCTCTGGCCCAAGCAAAGAGAAGTATTGAGGTCACTGGGGACAGCAAGTTAAAGGAAATCTCTTTCAAGCTTTAGTTCTCTTAAAGTGTGGAATCGTTGGACGCTCCATCATGTGTTTATTACAGTTACTTATATAGCGCTGTCAATTTACACAGTGCTTTACATACTATTCAATCACATCTATCCCTGCCCTCAAGGAGCTTACAATCTAGGGTCCTTATTGTACACACACTAGGCCCCTTTTAGACAGTGTGGGAGGAAACCGGAGTACTTGCAGGAAACCCATGCAAGCATAGGGAGAACATGCAAACTCCATGCAGGTAGTCTTCTTGTTGGGATTTGAGCCACAGACACCAGTGCTGCAAAGCAGATGTGCTAACCACTGAGCAACTGTATTTTAGGGCTGTCTGTTTTCCCCTTACTTTTCTGTATCTCCCCAGCAGCGAAATGGGGAGCTGCCAAACCAGGGCAAAGGTTCTAACACTTCTCCTCTTTATCAAAACCTAAAGAACACATGTCTCTTCCAACTTGAATAAAGGAAGGGACTTCTACTGTACTTCTTTGAACATATTCAGTTTCATACATTAGCAAATATTGGTTAAAGCCAAATCTTGATACTTTTGCAGAGTGTGTTTCCTACTCTGATTTCTACATTGACCAGTAATGTCTACATTAGATATATTCATTGACTTGCTGAACTCTACTCTGTGTTGTGGTTACAAAAGACTGATCCTGATGCTGTGTTGTTTTCTTAGTTAAATGCAGGTGCAGAGACTCAGCCGCCGGTTCCTGGGTGTCCATCAGTGGAAGACGATAGGTCAAAATCTGCCCCAACATCTCCATGTGATCAGGGTTTGTGATTTCCACTTTCTTTAAAGTCCAGTATTGTCCAGTATTGTCAGTGAACAGATATGGAGTTATTGCTGTCTTTTACCTAAAAGTAATTTTATGTGACTTTAACACACTTGCTTTTTGATATCTTTTGTATTGTATTTAATACAGATACTTGTAGATTAGCCACTAGAGGGAGCATACATTCAATTTGCAATTACTCTGCCTGAGAAGATAACAGCCACACAGGGTGTCACCATCTCAATTACTAGCTTTGTGAGAAGGAACCATAAGTCATAGCCATTGTGTAGCACAGCAGAGTAAGAAGTAGAGCCTGCATATGTAGTGTAATACATGGCTGCCCTGATATACAGAATGTACATTAAAGCTAAAAGGTTCATTTGATATTGATTGATTACACCAGCCTGAAATCCTGTACATATATATGTAAAATGACTACGGAGATTATACAAGCTTTGTCTAGATCCCTTTTGAATCATTTCATTCTTAGCCTCCGTATCTGCTAGAGTGGTTAGTGGCCCTTGGTTTTACATTCAGTGAGGTCTGGGTAATGCTGTTGTGGAAGACACCAAAGCTCAACCACAGATGACAGCACAAGATGTACACCAAAGAGAAAGAGCACCTCTGATCATTGTAGCTCTAATGCCCCGTTCACATTGAGCGATTTATCGCGCAGTAATTCCCGCGATATCGCGGCTATTTACCGTGCGATATCGCTCTTCAATGCTTTGCAATGGGGCAAAGGGTCCTGCTGTCGCGGGTCGTGTGTCGCTACAGCAGGACCCTTTTTGGAGCGGATTTTGCCGCGATTCAATGCTTTTCAACGCAAGCAAACGCGCGATTTGCGAATCGCCAAATGTGAATGGGGCCTAATGGTACTCACTGCGTGTGGTGTTTGCTGAACCCAGTGAAGAGTTCCGGATTTTGTTCAGCTTGAACATCATAAAGAAGGAAATACAACACTGCCTTCTATAAATGTTTCAGCAATAAAGGCCAAATATCACAAAAAATGTTTTTTCATTATTACTTATTTGTACAAATTATCTATAAATGTGCCAACAGATTTATCACCTTTGTTTATGGAGTATTTTGATGTGCAGTTGGCTGTGCAAGAAAAGTGTTGGTGACAACCTTGGAATAATGTGTTTTGCAGGCCTAAGGTGTGCTTAAATTCTCAGCTGTGATATTCTTAAATTGACACTTTAGAAAAAAAAAATGTTAAAATGACTGGTGTATGGGGGCTGTCAGAATCTCCTTTGAGAATATGGGTTCCCTGCCTGTCAAGCTGATGTTTTAGTGCTTTCTAAATATCGGACCTGGAATTGGTATAGATAAGGCACTCAAACATTCATCTACAATATGGTTGTGATATATTCAGGCACATCCACACAGCTAGCATTTTTAAAAGAAGGCAGCCCCCATATTTATTTCATGGCAGAGTCCCAGGGAAGTGCTGATTCCCTTTAGAGGAACGGTCGTCTCCAATTTTACACGGGTCCTTCCTCCACTTCTGGTTGGAAGAAAGGATCGCTGATCATAGTTTTGTTCAAATGTGATTTCAATAAGGTTTTTTTTTTTTATTAAAATTTTCTATCAGCGTTGTATGTTCTCACTTCTATCTGTGCAGTTCTGACTGAGCTCTGTTCACTGAGCAATGGCAGGAGCTCCTCTCACATGGCGCCTTGGCACAGCACCTCTGAACAGAATACACAAAGTTAATTTGTTCCAAGCCCTCATGCTGAAGTTCTTTTTTGATTATGTTTTTTATGTAGAAATTAAAGAACTTGAAAACAACATCAGGAAAGCTTTGTCATTTGACAACCGGGGAGAAGAGCACAAAGCAGCGGCCACTGTGACAGCAGACAATCAGCTGACTGTAACGGGGGAAAACGGAGAGAATGGGGAGATCAAAATTCACCAAGCCAAGAGAATGGGTCTGGAGGAATTCAACTTCATCAAAGTATTAGGAAAAGGCAGCTTTGGAAAGGTTTGTATTATGTTTTGTGTACCATGCTCAGACCATCAACTCCCTTCCTGTATATGACCTGTGTTACAGTGTAAATAGACACTTCTTTGGAGTAAGCCGTGTATGGCAGCAGTCCATTGTTTGGAAAGAGAAGAGCGGATGGTGACTATGACTAGGGTGCAGGTGAGGAGGAGCAGAGGCTGCAGTGCAGAAGCAGGATATTATCAGTAAAAGAGCAGACCATAATGAGGCATTAAAATACCTTTAATCATTTTTTTTTCTTTTTTATGAAGTTAGTGGAAGTACCTGCATTTGACTTGATATTAGCCTCTTGCACTCCTTTGTACAGTGGGAGTGGGAGGGGGCAGGAATAATAAATGTGCTGACAAGTAACATGCTGATAGGAAGACTAAGCATGGAGATGACCTCATTAGCCTGCTGCTAATCCTTCTGTCCAGTCAGCAGGCTAGAATGGGGGAGATGACAAAAAAAAACCAGAGTGATGGCAGAATATGACAGAGTGGTCTATATGGTCTACCCCGTGTAATTCTTTTGTTCTGTTGTTTTGTTTTTGTTTTTTTTATTAACCTGTTTGTCACACGCCTATTTAAATTCACTTACTGTTGACTAACGCACTACGTTAGATACCTAAAAACATTAACTCTCCAGCATTTCAGTGAAACAGAGGATACTGAAAGCTGCAGCAGGTATGTGGTCCTCTGGGTACTTAGGCTACGTATGCTATGTATCTATCAACCGCTCCAAGTATTACATGCAAACCATGTAAAAGGTCAGTGTAAGCAAAGTGCAGCTTTCTATACACGTGCCCACAGTATGAACATACCCATTGAATGAACATGTACAGTATATGTGTGTATCGGCTCAGGTTTTGCAGGCGGTGACTATAGGTTTCATATCTCTGCTCCTAGGTTATGCTTGCTGAATTCAAGGGTAAAGATGAAGTTTATGCTGTGAAGGTCTTGAAGAAAGACGTCATATTACAGGATGATGATGTTGATTGCACTATGACAGAGAAAAGGATCTTGGCTCTTGCGAGAAAACATCCGTACCTAACCCAGCTGTACTGCTGCTTTCAGACGAAGGTAATGTGAGCATGTCTGGATTGTGTGTATTCCAGCTTCTACTAAGTCCTACTTCTGTATTAGAGCTCTAACATCTGGCCCTGTACTGCCAAATGCAGTGAAGCCCATGACAGCCAGTCAGATTCCAGTTTACCAATGTCAGATTAGTGGAAGGTGAATTCCATTAGCTGCTCTGGGTTGCAGCTCCTTGTTCTGCTCAATAAAGTCCTTGGTAGATGTTGATCATCTGACGGCAACTTTCTTATAAAGCTTAGAAATCTCTAAAATACTTGATTTTATTGCTGGTTTGGTCTCCGTTGGGATTTGCCCGACACTTACCTTGTAGGTCCCATCTATCACCAGACAATTAAGACACATTACTTACCTTACTCTGCTAAAAAACAAAAACATGGCTGTCCTGAAACATCTAACAATGGTTCTAAATCTTCCTTGCTAAAGCTAAAAATAACATTTTGGAATGGAAATAATTTGACGTTTGTGGTGGAATTGGTTAACATTTAGGCAATATATCCAATGGTGACACCTGGTCAAGTGACAACTGTCTAAGGTGAAATGTCCCCTCTCTTTGGAAAGATATCCTCATTAAATCCCATAGAGTTTAACTATACATCACTCTATCCAACACGAAAAAAACATTCATAAATGAAAATGTAAAAGCTGCCATTTGTTTAGTACACCTGGCTGCAATGCTAGCACACATCATTTCAGTTATCTACTAAGTAACTATAAATCCGAGCCTTTGAAAAAACATTCTCTGGTTCCTGCACAACCCTCTCTGACCCACTTTAGTCTTGCCTACACATTTCGAAAGAAAACTATATACGGAAGAGTCCAAAAAAACTAAAACCCTGCTGGTTAATATAGCCTTGATCTTAAATGAGACAACATGAACAGTGAATCACAAAAAGCATGGGGCCTTAGAGCATTGTACACCTGACTGGTTTCATGCTTCACAATGAAGAATTTTGTGTAAGCCTAAAACCGGTTTGGTCTTAAAGTGAACCTTTCCTTTGACCATGCACTTAACTCCCCTCCCCCAGCAGCATGCACTTACATTTCCGGCTTCCTGCATCACTCCTTTTGACCACGCAAAGAGAGAAAAAAGTGACTCTTCCATATGACAGGACTGGGTGCCTAGTGTTTGGTCCAGCACTGTAATATGGCATCGGGGAAATAGCCCATAGCCCTGCAGGTGCTTCAAAAAGTCAGTTTCAGAGTTTACTCAGGATTTTTCCACTGGTTTTGGTGGCTGAACAGAGTGGTGCATGCAAGATGAGGAAAGATTGGTACATGCTGCTGCTAATGGGGTGGGAGCAGAGTGGCTCTTTTTCTTTTACCCTGTATTTTTTGTTTTAATTGTATTCAGAACAAAAAAATACTATTTTTTTTTGTTTTGTAAAATGTATATATCGCATTTGCATGGTCAAGGCTACAATTCCAGCTTCTCCAGAACCTTATTTACTGTTCCAGGTTACTGTTGGTAGGTCTGAATTGCAGGAAATCAGATTACACACACATTCTGCAGAATGTCTCAGCAGAGGGACCCTACACCCCATTTAGAGACAGGAGCAATCTGAATACTTGCAGAGGTAGTAATCATGTGTGCAGGCACTGCTGGGCTGTCTTACTAGAAAGTCAAGCACACTCTGCAAACCAAGTATCATTGAGTTACTCTGCAATGAATGCATATTAGTGATATATAAATTTTTTCAGTATGTGGAAAAGTTATGTAAAATGGTTTATAAATTAAAATATATAACCCAAAAAAATGTAAAACCTAAACTCTGATAAATATAGATGTGGCAAATTTATTTTGACAATTCTAGTTTCCTATCTTTTTGAGTTAATGTCCTTAATACTTCCTGAAAAGGTGACCCCAAACAAGTATGCAGCTCAATTGTGTCTTTAGTCTGATTTCACTGATGCTTACCTTGTTTGAAAGCATTGAAGTCTCGGAGGCTCAGTTTCCATCGTTGACAGCGATGGGAAATTTCCTTGAGGGTTATTACAATGTTTTGGGGGGTTTTTTTAAGTATCTGAAGCCCAAACCTTTTTTTTTCTCTCTGTTTAGCATAGAGTAGGGAAGGTTTATGAACCAGATAAGGTTTTAGTTACAGTTTATTCCCCCTCTGGGAAGATTCATCCGATCAGTCCTGGTGCCCCTTGATACTGGGACTGAAAATGAGAGAGAGCCCAAAATTTTACAGTTGCCACCATAACAAAAAATAGAGGGGAGATCTTCAAAATGGGCCCCTTGTTCTGGTCTCAACTGCATCAGGGGGGGATTTCCCCTCACTTTATAGAGATTTGTTCTTGTTTCCTGTTTTGTCTGCAGTTCAGGAATTGGAGGTCATAGGGGGGGTGCCTAGAGATGTTCTTCAGGATAACTTTGTACTTTTTCATAACCGTGCCAAAGCCACAAACCATGGTGTGTGTTTGTATTATATTCTGCATGTAGAAAAAGAAGTATTACCCATAATTGTTCTCATCAGTACGATGTTGTGTACGGGTGAGATCGTGTGTGTTTTGCTCAGCTATCCAAGCTTGTCATCCCTCTTACACAAAAGGAGATTAATTTTTATGCATGAAGAGGGGGAAATACCATCTAAGCATTACACAAACAGGATCTAAGAGCGAGTTACAAAGCATTTTTTGTTTGCAGCATTTTATTTATGCAGTTCCAGCAATTATGCTATTTTTACCATAGATACTTCAGTACACAGGAAATAATAGGTAGAGCTTGCGGAGATAAGACTGTAGCAGACACTTGTAAACAGTGCGCTGTGTAAGAGGATCTTCCCTTTACAGAACATATCTGTCTGTAAAATGATTTCTATTTCATACATATAGAATAATTATTAGTGCTGCAAAAACACTAATTGGAAAAATAAATTTTGCCTTAATGAAAGTTTAGCTGTAACTAATAAGTAATGTCTTGTAGAAAACCACTTGGTGGTAGCAGAGCCTTAGGCTTCTTTTCTGAATTCATGATTCGAGACGTGGATGTGAAAGAAAACAGGCCTAACCACACAGCAATGAGCAAAGTGCAGTAGCCCTTAACAACTAATCCCTATTAAAGTTAGACATATTCAAGTTTATGATTGGTTGTTATGCGTACTGCACGTTACTGAGCTTTTGGGAGCTATTTTTTTTTTTTTTATATATGGCCAAAAGAGTGTATAAGGTATGATATACTTAGGTAATTACTGTGCTCCATGGACAGTATTGATGGTTTGCCCCTTAAATGTTGTTGTGTATGCAAATGTTTCCTAATTTCTGCATAAAAAATGTAGTCATCATGTATGGATGTATTCTGAACTTTTAACAGTTACTTCCCTTACTCTCTCTTTTCTCAGCATTTATGTTGATTATAGACCTATTTATTCAGCAATAACTTTGTCATCACTTAAGATAACTGTAAAACACAGTAAAACATTTATTTTCTGGACAAACAAGGCTTTCTTTTTATTTTTTTCTTTATTTTCTATACATAAAAGAAACATAAATATTAGGGAAGATTAGGGTTAACTAGGGGTTAAAAAAGGGGTTAAATAAGAACAGGTTTTATTAAAATGATGCTAAACTCTGGATTTACATCCTAAAAATGCATTCAACAATTCTACAATATGGATGTATAAATTAAGTTATGTTCTCTGTCACATTGTTATCTCATGTTAGTTCCATGTTTAACACTTCAAGGATGGTTTGTCAACTAGAATCTATTGAGCTGCGTATGTATTCTTCTGTGCTTTACAGCGTTGTAGCTGTTGTTTTGTATCTTACAATTTTCTTTAATAAAGTTGGTTTGGATTTTTTTTTTAAATGCAATCAAGTACCATAACTATTAACAAAAATGTATCTCATTTGTGTATCACACGGCCGTAGATCCTCAAATCATCTCTGAATTGGTGCTGACACTGTCCTTTCCTTCGGGAGGGTGACTACTTTTGTGGCCCATGGTTCCTGTGTGTGTTGTAAAGTAGCCAACGCTCCAAGCTCGCCCCTGTGATGGACTACAATCTCAATACAAATTAGTAAACTAAACAACAAACTGACGTTTTTAAAAGCATGTTGCTTTTAAAAACGGGAAGCGGGGGGCAGGGCATGCCAGCTACACCCTATTTTTTTTGACATCCTGTTAGACAAGTGTCCTACCATTCCATAATCCTGTCCGGTAAGGAAAAAGGAATATTGGCAATATTGGGGGGGGTTACTAAACAATATCAAACTGACATTTAGGATCCCAGAATACAACATACTGACACTTGGAGCATAGTATAAAGGTTGGACATCTCTCATCCAGGCATTCTCCAGGGGAATCAGGGCTCTCAGTCTCTTATCTGTCACAATCGGATGTAGTCAGTCAGTTATGACATCATTCCCAGCTAATGGATCTACCTGCAGCAATTATTCGTGTTCTGTTCATAGAGTGACAGGGCGAAGCGGGCCCTAATCTAACATAAACTTTGATAACCAAAAGCAATGGAATATTTTCCGTAAACAACAACAAAAATTCCATCCTTCCGATGAGTCATTTGATTTGTTCCTAAAATGTATCACCCAAACAGGGAAAATATGTATTCTTTCTCATTGGTTCACAACCCTAAAACAGGTATTTAACTAACGTGTATTTTTGGGGGACTATGATGATGAGTTCTCTGCATCTGAGTTCACACCTGGTGTGGCCATACTATGGGGTGTCCTTCCCTGAATTACCCAGTTCAGTTTACTCAAAACTCCAGCATAGGGGTTCAGTTGTCCTTGCTTGGCTTTGTAACACAAAGGAATAGGTTTAGAAACATAAAAAGTTCTTACCACTGGAGTCCCCAAAAGATATGAAATACCTGTTAATGATTCAACCAGCCACCTTCAAACTGTACCTACAATATCAATATCAATTGGAGTTGGGATATAAAATCTTGAATTTTTATTACTTGGCAGGATTTCTTATTAAAGATTTATGGTTACCCCCTGACTTAACTTTACCTGTTGTGAGACAT